ACAAGAGCACCATAAAAGTATAATCAACACAACCAACATAACAACGTTCACCAGCAAAACATTACATTGTGCTGATGCAGGTAGCAAAGGTAGTTGTGCTGACTTGCACAGCCAAACTAAACAAAACTGCCTCGACCAACGTGACAGATTAAACTGCCTACTACTACTACTACTACTAAGTGGACCACCTCCATCAACAACCAACTAGACTGTTGGATCAGAACTTTAAACTACGTCTCAACCACTACAACCGACTTCACTACCACAGTGAATTCAACTAACGCGACAGGCGCAACCATCCAACCGACTGCACTGCCTTGTCTAATCCAACAGGTTGATTGTTCAACCTACTGGACTGTCTCGACTTACACAACCGATTTGATGGCTGCATCAACACAACCAGCTAGACTTGGACTTCTAGAACCAACACAACTTGACCACTTGAACCAAAGTAACTGACTTAACTATGTCAACCAAACATTTTGATTGAGCAAGTCTTATCAGTGGTGTTGGCTGAGGAAGTCATGCTTATGATGTAGGCGGTTACGTAAGTCATTGTTTCCCAGAGGCCCTTTCGACATGCCATGTGCTCGCCGCCATGTTGCTGGATTAGACGTGTTGTTGTTGTGTCCAGTTCTGTCTCATACTCGCTTATCTAGCTAGCATTACATGGTGTCAGAAGTGGCAAACGACAATGACGTCCTTCCGAGTTCCGTTGCCGGAAAATTACCACTTCAGCCATCCAGACGACCGGCCTAAATGGAGCCAACGATTCGAACACTTTTGCCAAGAATCAGGCCTTGTGAAAGAAGAGGAAGAAAGCCGATGATATCCTCAACTCCTTCAAGTCATCAACTACTCAACTGAAACAGCATCACACTGTGAAGACAAGTTTGACGGACATTTCGTAGTACGCAGAATGTTATTTTCGAGCGCCCAAAGTCAATCGACGCCGACAAGGGAAGGTGAGACAGTCGATAGTTTCGTCACAGATTTATACGCCTTGGCCAAACATTGCGCTGTTGGGACACTACAGGATGAATTGATTAGGGACCGGATCGTTGTTGGCTTGCTTGACTCTAAACTCGCCGAAAACTCCAACTTGGCCCCGAGTTTACGCTTTCAAAACCGTTGCACCAGGCCCGGCAAAGCGAAGCCGGGAAGAGAAAGCAAACCCTGATGAAAAATGACTTCAAAGAACCCACCGAGGTGGACGCTGTCAACTTTAGGATGCCGCCAAAATCAAAAGAATTCAAGAATCAAGGTAAAGATCCCCCAGCACTGAAACGTTGTGAATACTGCAGAAAAATCCCGACATATTCGACAAAACTGCCCAGCTAAGGAAGCGACTTGCCACAAGTGCTCAAAGCGACGTCATCAGGGAATCTTTTACAAGTCTTCGAGAACAGTTGGTTCGGTTGAGGAAGAAGACTACGCCTTCTTAGGAGCAGTTGGAACCGAGGCAGGCGAAAACATCTGGTCAGCAAAGCTCTCCTCAAACAACTCCCCTGTTTTCCTTCAAGATAGATACTGGAGCGGATGTGATGATAATCCCTGAGAGTATTTATAATTCACTGCATCCATCCACAACTCTGATCAAATCAAGCAAGACTTTGTTTGGGCCAGCAGATACAGCCCTCCCTACCCATGGCTACTTTATGGGAAAAATCACTCAAGGTGAAAAGGCCACAGACCAGGAAATATCTGTTGTAACCGGAGCACGGCAAGCCCTCCTCAGTTGCCCAGCAATAGAGTGACTCAAACTTGTTGAGACGATTAATGCCATAGAGGTAAACAAAGATTACAAAGCACAGTTCCCAAAACTGTTCACTGGACTCGGAAAACTAGATGGACCTAGCTATGTCATAAAACTGAAGCCACACACCAAGCCATTCGCTCTCACCACACCCAGGAGAGTGCCTGTTCCACTCCTTTCGAAAGTCAAAGAACTTGCCCGGATGGAGCAAATGCACAGCATTTCCAAAGTTGATGAACCAACAGAATGGTGCGCTGGGATGGTCGTAGTCCCCAAGGCTCGAATCTGTGTGGGTCTAACAAGACTAATCGAAAACATCTTGAGGGAATTCCACCCCTTACCCTGTGTTGACCAGACACTAGCTCAACTAGCTGGAGTGAAAGTATTTAGCAAGCTAGATGCAAATTCAGGACTCTGGCAAATTGGCTTGTCACCAGAGTCGTCCAAGTTCACCGCCTTCATAACACCATTCAGCCGGCTTTGCTGTAACCGTCTGCCATTTGGAATCAGTTCGGCGAACAAACATTTCCATAAGTGAATCTCACAAGTCTTGAAAGAAACGGAAGGATCTCTGTGCCAGATGGATGATATCCTGGTCTGCGGTAAATTATTCAAAGAACATGATGAGCATCTGAAAGAAACTCTATGCAAGCTACAAGAGGCGAACCATACCTTAAATGAGGAAAAGTGTGAATTCGCCAAACCATCAGTGGAATTCTTAAGTACCACTGTCAATGCCGAGGGCATACAAGTTGACCCCAAGAAAGGGGAAGCTATAACGAAGATGGCAGCCCCTAAAGACCCATTAGAATTAAGGTCCCTTGGAATGGTTAATCAGTTGAGTAAATTTCAGTCCCATATAGCTGTGCTCCCCAAACCACTAAGAGATCTCCTTAGTGCCAAGAACCACTGGACATGGGGTGAAATTCAGCAGCAGGCCTTTTCTGCTGTCAAAGACAGCCTCGCTTCCACTCCTACCCTTGCTCTCTATGATGCAAGCCGTCAGACAACTCTCTACAGGTGCATCTTCCTACCGCCTAGGAACGGGTCTACTGCAAAACCATGATGACCAATGGCGCCCAGTCGCTTATGCCTCAAGAGCTGTAATTCCTACAGAACAGCTCCATGCACAAATTGATAAGGAAGCACTGAGCATAACTTGGACAAGTGAACGCTTTGTAGATTATCTCACTGGACTCAAGTTTCACATCGAGACGGACCACAAGCCACTAGTCCCTTTGCTCAGTACAAAGAACCTCGAAGAACTTCCAGCTAGGGTACAGCATTCCCGGATCGGTATGATGCGATTCTCCTACAGCATCTCACATGTACCTGGGAAAAACCTGTATACTGCTGACACATTATCCCGTGCACATCTTGTAAAACCTGTGAACCAGCAGGAAGAGAAGCTGGAAAATGATGTTAAGGCCTATATTGACTCGATTATCAGCTACCTGCCCGCAACGGAGGATCGACTAGAAGAGCCAAGGTGCCTACAACAGGAAGATGAAGTTACCAAGCAGATCGTGGAGTATTCCTGGACCCAATGGCCTGAGAGATCTCAACTCCCAGGACAGCTGGAACCATACTAGCCAGAGAGAAATGAACTGACAATACAACACGGCTTACTGATGAAGGGCAATCGTCTTTTCATCCCTGTGTCCATGCGACTAGGTGTCCTGGAGAGAATTCATGAAGCCCACCAAAGTATCGCCAAATGCAGAGACAGAGCAAGAACCTCAGTATGGTGGCCAGGTCTGAGCAGAAAACTGGAGGAAGTGGTAAAGAAATTTCCAACCTGCATAAAACGGCATGTTAACAAAGCGGAGCCAGCGATTCCTTCTGAACTCCCTGACCGGACCTGGCAGAAAGTTGCTGCTGACTCATTTGAGCTGAAAGATCAACAGTACCTACTTGTCATAGACTACTTCTCTTGATATGTTAAGGTATTCAAGCTGTCCCGCACGACTTCACCTGACATAATAGTGGACCTCAAGTTCACGTTTGCACGACACGGCATCCCAGACCAGCTACTGTCAGACAATGCCCCGCAGTTCTCAGCGAACACATTTGCCAAGTTTCAAAAAGAGTTTGGATTCACGCACATTACCTCAAGCCCCAATTTCCCCCAAGTAACTGGCGAGGTAGAGCGTGCTGTTCAGACTGTGAAAAACGTACTAAAGAAGGCATCAGACCCATACAAAGCCCTGATGGCATATCATGCCACTCCCCTTGAAAGCGGCCTCAGCCCCGCTGAACTTCTGATGGCAAGGAAAATCCCTACCGCGGTTCCTATCCTGCCAAGCCACCTGCCTGGAACCTAGCTGGCCTTACTTAGAGCAGTTCAGGGAGAAGGATTCTGCGCTAACAGCCACACAGAAGAAGAACTTTGATAGACAACACTCTGCTACGAGCCTCCCAGACCTCTTGCCAGGAGATGCTGTCTGGCTACTCAGCAAAAAGGTTGAGGGGACTGCGGTAGATAAAGCTGGTACTCCTCGATCCTACACAGTCGCAACGCCAAATGGCCAGCTAAGGAGAAACAGACGCCACCTAAACCTCCTCCCTGAAACGCCCAGCGAAATGGAGAGCACACCTTGTGGAGAACCCTCCCCCAGTGTGCACTACCCCACTTGTTGACCCAAGAAGAAGTACCCGAAGTGGTAGAGAAATAAGAGTCCCATAACATTTCCAAGAATAGTTGCCTTTGGACTGTTTATTTGCTTTTTCACTTTGTTATCAAGCAGACTTGGTCATTTGTTGTAGTTGATAGAAACCTATAGTTCATAGGTTGAACTGATAGTTCCTCTCTGAACTTTTGAACTGCTTATTGCTTAGAAGGGAGATGTGATGTAGGCTGTTACGTAAGCCATTGTTTCCCAGAGGCCCTTGCGACATTCCGTGTGCTCGCTGCCATGTTGCTCGATTAAACGTGTTGTTGTTGTTGTTGGTGTTGTTGTTCTATTCTGTCTCATACTCGTTTTTCTAACAAACATTACAATGCTGTGTTGGTAACGGCCGTCTAGTTGACTGCTATGCTCGAGGCCGTCAAATTGGTTGTGTTGTTTGATGAAGTCCAGGAGGTTGATTTTTGATGTTGTAATCAAGCCTGTTGTGTTTATTAAGGCCGCACAGTTGGTTTTTTTTATGGAGATCAACCCATCTCAACTGTTGTATTGACTGTAGCAGTCAAGACCATTGTTTGGGTTGAGTCAGTTTAGTGGATACGTTGATGGGGTGGAGCTGGTGGAGGCAGTCAGGTCTGTTTTGGTCGAGGCAGTATAGCAAGTTGCGTCAGTGGTGTCAGTCCAGTTGGTTATTATGATTAGAGCAGCCTAGTCATAAGTGCTGCTTGAAGCAGTCGTCGGTTCAGTGTCCAGGTTGTTGCAGTCTTGTCAGTTGCTGTTGGTTGAGACAGTCTCTTTAGTTGACTGTGTTGGTCAACGCGGCTAGCTCGGTTGTGCTGGTCGAGGTAGTCTGGTTAGTAATATGCTGGTGGAGGCAGGATAGCTGGTTCCACTAGCTGAGGCATTAGAGTCGGTTGTGGTTGTCAAGCTAACGTAGTTTTTGGGTGGTGGATTAGAACTGGCACAGCGGAGCCTGAGATGGTAAACAGGACTTAATACAACTGACTTTGTGGGCTTAATTCAACTTGCCACAGGCCAAATCATTCTACACTGAAATACCAGTCAAAGCTAAACATTTGAAGAGGTCTGCCACTGGAAAACATCTGAAGGAGAAAACAACTTACTCACGAACAAGTTGAAAAGGCAGTTTTTCTGAAAAAGACTTGTCAAATTTGTAAAGATTTTCAATTTTGTAAAACAAGTTCTTGAAAACGATAAAAAGGAAAAGAAGGATTGAAAAATACACCCGCTAATTCACACTTCATAAAATTTCATGCCCTAACTTAATACTTGACTATGAATGAAAAAATGCTTGCAAAATAGTTATGACAAAGGTCGCTGATTTTCATCCTAAACGGTCAGGCAGATAAAGTAAAATTGTCAACATTTATAGGAATACAAAAGTGCAGTAGAAAGAAGTTTTGTACAGAAAGAAACGATTATTACAAATTAAGAGAATGCTGCTAAAATAGTTTTGACAGAGGTGGTTGATTTTGACTGAATGTAAACAGTCAGATAGTTAATTAGATAAAATTATCGGCATTTCTATGATAACAAAAGTGTAGAGAAAGACGTTTTGTACAGAAAGAAAATGATTATTACAAATTAAGAAAATTCTACTGAAATAGTTTTGACAGAGGTGGCTGATTTTGATTAGGAATCAGAAAAAGTCTGATACTTATGAGTTGCTGTTGCTATGCGGCAGGTTGTACTGGGTTACATAGTACCAGTAGCAGGTCACCTGACCTGACCTGACAGTAACTCATGTTAATTAAATAAAATAAAATAAATTAAATAATAAATAAATAACTGAATAAATAAATAATTATAAAAGTAACATTTTCCAATTTCTTTTTAATTGCCTCCGCGTCTTCTGAATATACGGCTAAAAAATGCTGTCAGCCTTTTCCGAAACCCTGGCTGTCTCTTCTGGATTTTCTGACGGTAAAGAAATACGGTGCATGTTATACAGAATGCATCTTCATGTATTTAAAACGAGATATCTATGAAAATTCCTCAAAGTGATAGTGATGATGAATGGAATTAACTATCACTTCATAGAAATCTCGACGTCTTAATCCAATTGTTCTAATGGAATTCTTATTTAATTTACCTTGACTAACAAGTATTCAATTTCACGGGTTAGCAAAATTTGCAAGGACTAAATTGTTATTTAACACTTGAGGTTGATTGAGTGAGTTTTCTGTTTTCATTTTTTCAACGATTCAGTTTGTTAAAGCAGGAAACGAGAGAATGTCCATCTTTAATTATCCAGTAATGCTTGCAACCTTTTCTCTGAAACTTCCAAAAAACGTGACAACATATAGCTCCACTCATTGTACATGGATAGCTGATAATGCACAACAGCTCAGCCAATAAGATTGCAGCATTTGCATAAGTGACAAGTGAGCGACTAGACTTCAACTAAATCATAGATAGATAAATAGATAGATGTCTTCTTAACAGGCTTGCACTGTAATGTTAATAATTATCCACACATTCTGCTCCTTGCCTTCGAGAACGATATTGCGTCTGTAAAGTTCAGTGACACGGTCAATTTAAGAAAAATCATCATTGTCACCGTTTGACTGGATCTGACAGCAATTATTATCAATACTAGTAGTAATTGTAGATTAAAGAGTGCGTTCGGGTGGGTTTGGTATGTTAAAAAAGCAAAAATTCTAGGAACAGCATTTTGTGCCTGAGCTGTTAGGTAGACGTGAAATTGGCCTCTCTCCAGCAGGGGCGAAGACAAATGAATTGATCGCAAAGCACGTGCATCCGAGAGGGTTTGTTCTCGTTTATACATGTATTACGTAATATTAGTTACGATCTGTCAGTAAAAAACACGGACTGTATTTGGTAGGCCGTCTTTGGTCCGCAGTCTGCGTTTTATACCTGAGTCCGTGTTTTATACTCAGTCCGTAATGCTTAGTCCGCAATTTATACCCAAGTCCGTGTTTTATACCTAGTCTGTAGTCCGCAGTCCGCAGTCCGCAGTCCGTGTTTTATACTGACCGCGTAAATCGGCACAAACGATGCCTGTTCCGTCGGTATGCGAGACGACGTGCTTTTATTACCAAAATTAGGGCAATTATTCTGTTTCCGAACACGACTTTGAATCGCCTTGGCTTTGGGGCAACAGCTACAGGGCATTTTCTCTTCCAAAACAATGAAACGGAAAACATGTTGGTGTACCAAAGGAATCCTGTGGAAGTTAAACTCTTTTCCTATGTTAACACTTCGTTGGGTTTATGTTACATATTTTGCACACAGAAATCTAGGTCAGCGAAGTGAAACTACACATTTCCTCCTTCGATTTATTCTGCAGAAAGCAGCGTTGGTTTTGGTCGAAGAGAAGAGGGTACACAACACGCAGCCAAACTACAGCTTTCTGTTCGTACGGATAGTTGTACACATTTCGTGAAGACATGTCTGTAAGGTTTTTAAATGCCATTAACACTGACTTCGAACTTTAAATAAACAATTCATCCACCACAGTCCACTATTAGCTGCCTCGACGCTCGAAAGTGCGCAATATTGCCTAACACTCTAAAGAAAGCACATGGACGAGCACGGAGATGATGTCATTCGCCTCTCAAGAATTTTTGGGGGAGGGGGGTCCAAATTGGTGTCCATAGAAGGATACATACACAAAAACTCGAATTTTTCCGCATCACCCGATTAGAACTGTGTTCTCTCGAACGCAATTATGCAATCATTCTTACCTTCTTCTCAGCCAGTTGAGCAAGCTGCTCTTTCAACTCTTTGTTCTCACTGAAAATAGAAAAAAGGGGAAACACTAATGAGCCAAAAAATATTCTGGTACATTCCAAATTGTAGATTAATTTAGGAATTGAGGTGTTGAAGTAACCAAGTAACACAGTTAGGTTTGAGGTTACGTGGTAAGTTGCTTAGTAACACAATCGGTCTTGAGGTGGTGTAGTAACATAAGGTGTTTGTATTAATTAAATCACTAGAGACAATATTATGTGAGACTGATAATACGCCCACTAGGCCAAAAAGTTCCTTAGAAACACAACGCAATGTAGGGTTCCTGAATAACACAATAAATTGTTAAGTTGCAAAATAATTGTGGACTTCAGCTAGCATAGTAGCACGTGTCTTCAAAGACAATTTATTCAAAATATTTTTGTTACAGAACCAGTATTCAACTAGTAGAAATCTAAACGCGAAGAGAAAGAAAAAAGACTGGTATCTAATAATATGTAACAAGACTAATAGTTAATAACAAACAGATGAGTGGAAAAAAAAAATTACCATAATAATAATAACAATACAAAATGCTAGTAAAGAAAAAGTTTTTCACTGCCAACGTTGACGTTTCGTATGTACAACATACATCTTCAGAAGTGACCGTTAACTAGATTACAATCGAAATTTAAACGCGAAGAGAAAGAAAAAGACTGGTATCTAATAATATGTAACAAGACTAATAGATGTAAGATGTATGTTGTACATACGAAACGTCAACGTTGGCAGTGAAAAACTTTTTCTTTACTAGCATTTTGTATTGTTATTATTATTATGGTAATTTTTTTTTTTCACTCATCTGTTTGTTATNGTTTAAATTTCGATTGTAATCTAGTTAACGGTCACTTCTGAAGATGTATGTTGTACATACGAAACGTCAACGTTGGCAGTGAAAAACTTTTTCTTTACTAGCGTTTTGTATTGTTATTATTATTATGGTAATTTTTTTTTTTTTTCACTCATCTGTTTGTTATTAACTATTAGTCTTGTTACATATTATTAGATACTAGTAGAAATCTGTTCTCTGCTGCTGTAACGTTATTAACAATGCCCTTCGTATGACATTTAATGCTCCATCAGTCTTGATAAGTAACGATTCCAGAAAAATAATACGGAGTCGTTCACATACGTAGCGACTAGCCCGAAATCGAAACTCGCACTGGGCTTGAAGTCATGTGACTTCCTATCTCATGTGATCTCTGAATGTATGCAAATGCAAGGTAGAATCCGATTTTCAGATCGACAGAGTAACTGAGTTACATAATGAGTATTAAGGTAAATACACCAAAGTGTTGTTTTCTACTTGGTACGATAAAAAAATAAGTTTTAACCGATAGTTGAGTCGAGTCTTGAGATTTGGAAAGTAAACTGGTTGCTCAGAGGTGTGCTGAACATTTTATTGATAACTAAGATTCCAGCACCCCTTGCAGACCCTGCAAGGTGACTCAGTTCAAATGAAATCAACCACTGAAAAATGTCTAAAAACTAGCATTCATTCTGATCACAAATAATAGCCCAATACCGTCATTCGTGAACACATATCTACATTAAGCCCTGGCCAAACGGAGTCGCAAGGAGACGCAAGGAGACGCAAGTTCTCAACTTGCGTCTATTTGCGACTCCGTTTGGCCAGGCCTTACGTGCACTTGCGTTGACTTGCGATGACTTGCGATGACTTGTGCTCACTTTGGTCGAGATCAAATTTGCACGCAAGTCGACGCAAGTTTTTCACCGTTTGGCCCTCCAACCCAAGTCAACGCAAGTTGAGTGACGTCTATTAACCTCTTATTAGCCAATGAAATACAGGATATGTCTGCCTTGAAATGTTTTTTTTTTTTTTGCGACCTGCGTGTACTTGCGAGGAAACTTGGGAGTCCGTTTGGCCACCCAACGCAAGTCTCTACGCAAGTTCAACTTGCGGCTACTTGCGACTACTTGCGAGTCCGTTTGACCAGGGCTTTACACTAAACCATTCAAGAAATTCCTTACCGAGAAAGGTCTTCAATGTCCCAATTCTTTTGCTGCAATTAAAAAGTAAACCATGTTTAAATGTTATATAGCAATGCAGCAAATGGGATCCATAATAAAAGTCAACTAATTAATCAGGTTTTCAGAGTTAATATTTAAACAAAATACTGCAGCATTCCAGTCAGATAAGTAAGGACTTTTGAATTAAAAATCCAGCAAGTCAGGCTTCACTATCTTCCCAAATTCAAACAGGTCCATGGGAAAATTCTAATGACTTGGTAACTTTCTAATGACCTGTTGGAATTGGCTTTTAACACCATCCCAATAAACCGTATTTATAACAGCGAAATTCTCTTCGTAAATGCAGGCTTATCGGTGAACACACTTAAAGAAAATCCAAACTTTAAGTCAAATATTTGTATGTTACTAAAACGCGATCGATCATCAGTCCCTTTTTCTAAAACAAAATTGTGTTAACCAACGTGGAAAACGATTAGCCTTTCAAGATATTTTTATTACACGATATTCATTTCTTATGTTCTTTATAGCATTTGTCTTATAACTGCAAATTAACAAGATGTTTTTGCTTCCGTGCACCTAAATGCTACTTATGATCAATCACAGACATTAAGGGTTTTTTTCTCTGTCTTTCAAAGGTTGACTTTTCAAAGTTATGCTTAGTGACTTTTTGTATACGATAGTTCCCAACAAAACTGAGAGATTGGAATTGTCTTGTATCGGTCTAAGTAAATAAATAGACTGTGATTAATATACTTAAGTTCTCTTACCTCAAGGTCTTCTCTTGATTCACGTAGTTGGCTGAAAAAAAAACATATCGTTAATGAATATTTCTTTGTTAATTAGTGATTAATCAAAACAGCAGTTCAAAATTCCTAAACATTCTACCAACTATCAGAGACGTTTTACTTCATAAAACACATAAATGGTCACTGAATTGTATTGCTCTGCAGGAGAGAGTCTAAATGTGTTTTAACCGATAGCTGTGAGTTGCTCAAAGTTGTAACTGTCAGCCGAGTCTTGAGATTTGGAAAGTGTACTGATTGCTGAGAAGTAGGCTAAACATTTTACTGATAACTAAGATTACAGCACCCCCTACAGACCCTGCAAGCTGACTCATTTCAAATGAAATCAACTACTGAACAACGTCTACAAACTTGCATTCATTCTGATACTTGTCCGCCTATTCAACTGATCACAAATAATGATCCAATACCATCATTATCGGACACATATCTACATTACACTAAACCATTCAATGCGTTGCCTATACATAAAACGTTAAATCTCAACAAATTCTTTACCGAGAAAGGTTTTCAACGTCGTCATATTTTTCCTGCAATGAAAAAGTAAACCATGTTAAAATTTTATAGAAATGCAGTAAAGGGGATCGATATAAACGTAAACTAATTAATGAAGTTTTGATAGTTAATATTTTAAAAAAATATCGCAGCATTCCAGTCAGATAGGAAAGGGTTAAAAAACAGCAAGTCAGTTTTGACTAACTCCCCGAATTGCAACAGGTGCATAGGAAAATTCTAATGACTTGGTGACTTTCTAATGACCTGCTGGAATTGGCTATTAACACCATCCCAAAAAGACGTATTTATAACAGTGAAATTGTCTTTGTAAATGCAGGCTTATTAGTAAGTCGACTTAAAGAAATTCCAAACTTTACATCACATATTAGTACATTACTAATGAGCAATCGATCATTAGTCCATTATTTTTTCTTTTAAGGTTTGACTTTTCAAAGTTATCCTTTGTGATTTTCTGTGGTTCCCATTTAAAAAACAACTCAACAAAAGTGAGAAATTGAAATTGTATTGTATCGGTCTAAATAAATAGACTGTGATTAGTATACTTAAGCGCTCTTACCTTTAGGTCTTCATTGGATACACGGAGTAGGCTGAAAAAGAAATCCATATTGTTGATGAATATTTTTTTTAAAATTATTGATTAGCCAAAAAAGTGGTTAAAAATTGCTTAACATTCTCCCAACTATCACAGACCTTTTACCTCATAAAACACATAAATGGTCACTGAATTGTATCGCTCAGCAGGAGAGAGTATAAATGTGTTTTAACCGATAGCCGCGAGTTGCTCAAGATTTCAACTGTCAGTTGAGACTTTGGAAAGTGTAGTGATTACTGAGATGTAAGCTGAACATTTTATAGATAACTAAGATTCCAGCCCCTAATGCAGACCCTGCAACGTGACTGAGTTCAAATGAAATCAACCACTGAAAAACATGTGGAAACTTGCATTCATTCTGATACTTGTCCGCCTATTCAATCGATCACGAATAATAGCCCAATACCGTCATTATTGGACACATATCTACATTACACTAAGCAATCCAATGCGTCGCCTTTACATAAAAAGTGTAACGAAGAATATATCTCAAAAAATTCTTTACCGAGAAAGGCCTTCAATGCTGTCATATCTTTGCTGTAATAAAAAAGTAAACCATGTCAAAATTTTATAGAAATGCAGTAAAGGGGATCGATATAAAAGTAAACTACATGTAATTAATCAGGTTTTAAGAGTTAATATTTAAACAAAATACTGCAGCATTCCAGTCAGATAGCCGAAAGGGCGTTCTGGTTAAAAATCCCGCCAGTAAGGTTTGACGGTGCATGGTAAACTTCTAATGACTTAGTGACTTTCTAATGACCTATAATGGGCTGTTACCACCATCCCAAAAAACGTATTTATAACAGTGAAATTCTCTTCCTGAATGCAGGCATATTACTTAACAGAGTTAAAGAAAATCCAAACTTTGCATCAAATATTAGTACATTACATTACTAATGGACAATCGATTGTTAGTCCACTTCTTTAAACAAATCTTGATCTACTTAGTTTCACTTACTGAGAAGAGTTTCTTGCTTTTCGTCAATTCTCTGAAAAGGAAAACCATAAGGTTAATGAAAATTTTTTGCTAGTGACTAATACCAACAGACTCTGTAACGTGACTCAACTTTAATGAAAGCAATCACAGTAAAGCGTCTAAAAACTTGCATTTTTCCATTACTTAGAGCTTGTTTCTTCTCTAGTAAAAATAGTGGTAAAACTATATCACACTGAACCACCCAATACATGGTCTAAGCATCAATATTTTAATGCAGAATATTATCTCAAGAAATTCTTTACTTGAAAAAAGTTTCAATCTTGATATTTCTTCAGTAAACAATCTATCAACTATCAGAGACATTTCACTTTATAAAGCACATATATAAATGTTCGCTGAATTGTATTGCTGAGCAAGAGAGAATCTAAATGTGTTTTAACCGATAGCTGCGAGTTGCTCAAGATCGTAACTGTCAGCTGAGACTTTGGAAACTTTACTGATTGCTGAGTGGGCTAACATTTTACTGATAAATTAGATTCCACCACCCCCTGCAGACCCTGCAAGGTGACTTAGTTCAAATGGAATCAACCACTGAACAACGTCTAGAAACTTGCATTCATTCTGGTACTTGTCCGCCTATTCAATTAATCACAAATAATAGCCCAATACCGTCATTATTGGACATATATCTACATTACACTAAACCATTGCATTGCCTTCAAATAAAGCATTTGATAAAGAATATATCTCAACAAATTCTTTACCGAGTAAGGTCTTCAATGACGATTGTCTTGTGCTGGAATAAAAAAAATAAAGTAAACCATGTCAAAATTTTAAAGAAATACAGTAAAGGGGATCAATACCAAAAAAAATTATTAATCAGCTTTAAAGAGTTAATATTTAAAAAACATACTGCAGCATTCCAGTCAGATGGGAAAGGGCGTTCTGGTTTAAAACCCTGCCAGTAAGGTTTGACGGTGCATAGGAAACATCTAATGACTTAGTGACTTTCTAATGACCTGTTAAGATGGGCTGTTACCACTATCCCAAGAAAAACGTATTTATGACAGTCAACAGAATTAAAGAAAATCCAAACTTTCCATCAAATATTAGCACATTATATTACTAATAGGCAATAGATTGGTAAAAAGTTTCTTTAAAAAAATCTTGTTCTACTTAATGTCACTTACTGCCACGAGCGCCTTGCTTTTCGTCAATTTGCTGAAAAGGAAAACCATATAGTTAATGAAGATTTTTACCTGGTGACCAATAAAAACAGATTTTGTAACAAGACTATATTCCAATGAAAGCAATCACTGTAAAGCTTCTAGAAACTTGCTTTTTTCCATTACTTATATCTTGTTTCTTCTATAGCAAAAATAGTGGTAAAACTACATCACACATGCACTAAGCATAAATATTTTAATGTAGAATATATCTCAAGAAATTCTTTACTTGAATGAAGTTTCGATCTTGACATTTTGATCCTGCAATAAGGAAGTAAACCATGTTAAAATTATATAGAAATTTAGTGAACAGGATCAATGTAAAAGTAATTATCTAATTGATGAGATTTTCGGAGTTAATATTTTAAAGAAATGCCAGTAACACATCAAAGGCTTTTCTCGTTAAAAACCGAGCAAATGAGGTTTGACTAACTTCCTAAATTGCAACAGGTGTATAGCAAAATTCTAATAACTTGGTGTCTTTCACATGACCTGTGGAAATTGGCTATTAACACCATCCCAATAAAACGTATTTAAAACAGTGAAAAGCTCTTTGTTAATGCAGGTTTAATTCAGTCAGCAGAGTTAAAGAAATTACAAACAGTCAATCAAATATTAGTACTTAGTAATTAACCAATCAATCGCTGGTCCATTTTTTTTTTTTTAAATCCTTATCACCGAAGAGGAAAACCTTAGCGTCTCAAGATAATTCTAGTTGCAAGAAATTTGTTTTTTGCTCTTTGTAGGATTTTTCACATAACTTCAAATGAACAAGAAGTTTAGGCTTAAGGGCCCATTAACTGATCTTTTCGAGCCGTT